CATCATTTTTCCTTTCTTTAATCCTACAAAGTTAAAACAGGTATAAATGCATTGATTATTATCATCTGTATGCATGGCGTACCCCCTAATTTGTCTCGAAAATGCTAGTCAATGATGTTATCGAGATTGTCATACAAGATGCCCATCGTCTCTCTATGGCTGTAAAAGAAGATTTTATGCCACTGCAGGGTCGCAACCTCAGTAATTTAGTTGGTATCGTTGAGAGAAACGTGAACAACAACTTTAGAAACTCAACGTCTAAGCCATATTTTTCCTTTCCCTTCTGTGCTGGAGCACCTGGAATCGGTTGGTATTCATTAGTTACCGAGCTGATTCTTTCTAGTTTATTCATCCATTTCTAAATTTTGCGCAGGTAAAACTCGGATGGGCCAGGAACTATTCAAATACATTAAAGAAGTTTGGGTCCCCCCTCATTGGCAAAAACCGATAGTGCATTTTGAATACATTCGTATGGACTTCGGTAACGGAATCCAGCTCGACACATATGACATGGATCTATCTGCGACAGTCATCATTGGGTTACGGATCGCTTACGTTTTCTTTATCGAAGGCAAATACGATATGCAATTTGTAACGTTTCGTGATCGAGTCATGAGATATGTGGATATGTTCAAAATCGCCAATGTTTTTGAAAGCATTCGGGACAAGCTAAGCCTCAAAACCGCCCATCAGCTTTTCGTTTTTCTCCATGTTGACGAGTTTCAGCTTGTCGACCGGTGGGACGGAGAAATTGTTAATTATAGGAAGCCGGCTAAAGATCTTTTTAAGAACATGATCAACAATCTTGCACCATTCTTGTATGGTCCACCTACTACCACCTTTGTCCAAACATTCCTCTCGGGGACGGCACCCCAAGTTGTTATAGCAGCCAAAGAAACATCAAGAGTCTCATTCGATTTTGTCCCGTGTCTACAACTCTTATTCCAAGAAATGATCAAGATTGTGGATCATTATTCGGAGAGATTCGGTGCAAGAAAACTTGCCGGTAGCAATATATATTAATATTTAATATTGCATGTGATCAAGCAATTTTTGCAAGGTTAATTTCTTATAAGAAAGAACACCCAAATGTCCAGGCAGGTTTTATTGGGACAATGGCACACATCTAAAGATATGTGCAGTGTGTTAATCAAAATATTTTCAGGATATGGGATATTTGACCTTGCAAAAGTCCTTGGTGTAAAGTTTATGGATAAATTTGAGCAAGTTGTAGACTATTGAGTTACATGCCATGTCTTGGAATTAATCTGGATTGCTGTTGGAATTGCATTGTGTCAAGATGTTAAAAGTCGAGGAGAAACTCTGAATGACATTTTAAAAGGTGACAACCAGTTGTTGAAGGTGTGGTATCTCTTCTTCCGTTGGGCGGGATATTTCGAGGGTCACAAAATCGGAATAAGAAAAGGAAATTATGAAATGCAAATGGCAAATCTTGCTGCATTTGCACCTCTATGCCCTGCAGCTGGGAAATTTAATTATGCGACTGCCGTAGCACATTTTCTGGCACAAGTACATGACGATCAAAAACTACAAGAATTACTATAAATAGTATGTTCGGTAAATCTTGCAAGTGAGGGCCATTATTTGGGTTTTGATGAAGCACTTGAAAGAAAAGGTGTAAAATTTGTCAAACAAAACATCTCTGGAAATCTCACAGACCAAGCGACAATGATGTCAAAGATTAAGGCAGTTCAGAGTGAGAGAAATCGTTTGTCAATGCTGCTTACCGC